GACCTAGCGCCTCCTAACACACCTCCCAAACAAGCCAAAGGTCTTCCCTCAAAGGTCGACCGAGCAGCTCTGCTCCCAGCGGCAGAGAAGGAAGGAGCGAGGAGAAGGAGCTCTGCTGCTGCTGCTGGGCTCTGCCTGGAGATGGAACTAGGGCCGGAAGCCCTCAGAACCAGAGCTCAAGATATGGGGTCTGTAGAGAAAGCCAAGGTTCTCCTAATGATAGTAGCTCCTGCCTCATGAAAACTTGCTTTTAAGGAAAGCCCAGCGCTTTTGGTACCACCCTGAATTCTTTCCAAAGCTCGGTGAGGAAAGGGTTTTAACTCCCCACTTTTAAAGCCTAGGCTCAAAGATCAAGTTACTGGAACAAATCTTACAGCTGTGAAATGACCACCATAGGATCTGAACCCAGAGCCTGGAGGACTCCGAGAGATCACAGGGCTGAGCAGTGTTTAAGCCTCCCTATGGGGCTGTGCCATACAGCATGACGAAAACATGTGTACCTCCACTAATGCTGGTGCCTCGACCTGCATCCCTGCTGTTGAGCACTTGAAATGTGCATACTGGGATTAAAGATTTTTTATGTTACTGTGCTGGGGATTGAACCCAGAGCCGCAATGCTAAGCATGCACTCTGCTATTGAATTATACATCTAGCACAAATTTTAATAAAAATTTTAAAGTGTAACCTCAGAATGTTTTGCACTATACATCTTAATACTGTATATACCTCAAGGTCTGAATTGGCCTTGGGTCCCATAATCGACCTCTCCAAAACATCTGTGGAATGAATGAAGGGTCCCTGTGGGAAGGGGCCATCTGGTATGGTGTGAATGCTTACAGTGTTAGTCGAACTGACTGGCTCAGAGTGTCTGCCAGGACCATGGCACCAGGAGGGAGCCTGGGGATGCCAGCTGGGTATGCGACTGGCCCACCTGCCCTGATCTCACACATAAGCTTTTCAAGGACAGATAACAGGTCTCGGGGCAGGAATCCTGTGCACAGAAGCAAGCACCATGATGCTGTAAACTAGAGAATAGTCTTAAAAGTTGAGAAACGAAGTCACTATGTGCCTGATGAGATAGTACAGAATCATTATAGAAAATAAAGGTTGGGGGGCATAGGTGAGTGGTAGAGCACTTGACGAGCTTGCATGAGACCCTGTGTTCAATCCCTAACATTGCAAACAGATGAGCAGGTAACTATATATGCCATTGTGCAATATTCTTAAACAAACATGCTAAATACTAAATTGGGACGACCACATAGGTAAAGTAAGCACTTGACCTAGCATGCATGAGGCTCCAGGTTCCCAGCCCCACAAAAAAGAATTACATTTCACTTATTGTTTAAGCCTATTATAAGGCTTTTAAATTTATAAAATACTCAAGCATAAAGGAAGGAGGGCAGGCATAGGATGCCCACCGTGTATAGGCCCAGCATTTAAAATTAGCGCTGCCCAAAACTAAATGATCCATAGAAAGTGCATACAATAAAGAGTTGGGCATCTAGCACCCAGCGCGTTTTCCAAATCTCACAGCTTACCCTATTTTGTATTACTTTGAGATTTAAAATAAATTTTATTTAAAAATAAATAAGTTTCATCACAATAAACTTGTACGATTAAAGTGAAGTGATTTAAAGTCATATTTTCCAAATCTATGACTTGCATTTTGAGGAGATGGCGCAGTGGAATAAGCACTTCCCTGGCAAGCGCAAGGGCCCAAGTTCAATCCCCGGTTCCGCCAAAAAATTATTTTTTTTAAATGAAAATAAAATAAAAAATACATTTCTACCAATTTAACAGAGAAGCAAATTCTATTGTGATAAAATGGAGATTTGAGTACTTTTATATGATTGGAAACTAGGTAAGAGGATAAGTTTTAATCAAATTTGGAAGGTGTAGCTGAAAATATGAGTCATTTACTCTTCAGAACT